GTTGGCCCGTCCGTTCCGCTTCGCGAACGTGCAGTCCGTCCGTTCTACCTGCTGGTCCGTCCGTTCCGCTTGGCGAACGGGCAGTCCGTCCGTTCTACCTCCTGGACCGTCCGTTCCGCTTGGCGAACGGAAGTCCGTCCGTTCCACCTTCTGGTCCGTCTGTTCCACCTCATGGTCCGTCCGTTCTGTACTGTTTTTTCGTCGTTTTCGACGCGTTCGAGTCCCGTTGATCCCTTGGTTCGAATCTTATGCCAATCACCTTATATTTTAGACTTGTCTTACCCTATTTTCACAAATATACGTCGATGAGATCATACGGCTGCATGGAGTGCCAAGTGAAATCATATCCGATAGAGATGCTCGATTTACATCTCGTCTATGGAAGGCTATACAGGGAGCATTGGGTACAAAGTTGAAGATGAGCACAGCGTATCACCCACAGACTGACGGGCAGTCAGAACGAACCATCCAAACCTTAGAGGACATGCTCCGAGCATGTGTACTAGAGTGGGAAGCTCCGTGGGATCGGTACATGACGTTGTGTGAATTCGCATACAACAACAGTCACCACGCGAGTATTGGGGTATCACCGTATGAGGCACTGTACGGAAGGCCATGCAAGACGCCACTATGCTGGACCGAGATCGGCGAACGCAGAACATGGAAATGGGATTCTATTGCAATGGATTTTGTGGTTGGGTTACCACTTACCCCGAGTAAGAAAAATGCCATCTGGGTGGTTGTGGACCGATTAACGAAATCCGCTCACTTCATCCCTATCAGACAGGAGTACACGATCGAGCGATTGGCACAAATATACGTCGATGAGATCATACGGCTGCATGGAGTGCCAAGTGAAATCATATCCGATAGAGATGCTCGATTTACATCTCGTCTATGGAAGGCTATACAGGGAGCATTGGGTCATTCCGGAATTTCCAATGGTTGTAGTTTGCCACCCGGCATCTGTCGTTCCGCTTTCACTTGCTGACAGGTAAGGCACCTTGTTACGAAATCAGCCACATCCCGCTTGATTCCCGGCCAGGTGTACCACCGTCGTAATCCTTGGTACATTTTACTCGCCCCCGGGTGTATAGCTAGTCTAGACTGATGTGCCTCCGATAGTATCTCCCGTCTCAACACCTGGTCATCTGGCACACATAGTCGGTTACCCAGTCGCAATGCTCCCTTCTCATCGATACGGTATCCCTTACGACCGTATTCTTCTATACCGTCCATGTACCGAGCAAGCAAAAGATCGTCACGCTGTCCAGCGACCGCTCGTTCTGCAAAGGTCGGCGTCGGTTCCTCCGGTGTCAAGGTCAAATGTCCCAGCATAGCTACCAATTCAGAAGCATCAATGCGGGACGACGTCACGACACGGATGACAGCCAAAATCTTCTTCCGACTAAGGGCATCAGCTACCACGTTAGCCTTTCCCGGATGATAGGCAATCTCCAAGTCATAGTCGGCAATGAGTTCCAACCACCTTCGTTGTCGCAGGTTCAAATCCTTCTGAGAGATTACGTACGTCAAGCTTTTATGATCAGTATTAAGCTTAACTTGCTCCCCGTATAGGTATGACCTCCAGATTTTTAAAGCATGTACTACCGCTGCTAACTCCAAGTCGTGGGTTGGGTAGTTTTCCTCGTGCCTCTTCAACTGCCTCGATGCATAGGCGATGACATGTCCTTCTTGCATCAATACACATCCTAGTCCTTGTTTGGAGGCATCAGTGTAAACCTCATACCGTATTCCCGGCCGTGGAAATGCCCAGATCGGTGCCGAGGTAAGTCTCCGTTTCAATTCTTGGAAGCTTTCTTCGCACTCTGTGGTCCATTCAAACTTAACGTTTTTCCCGGTGAGCTTCGTCATGGGTCGGGCTGTAATAACCCGTAAATTCAACTTTGAAACCAAATTTTAGAAAATTAAATATGAGTCATA